TGGGTATAAAAACCCCAAAAATATTTTATGTAAGGGATCTTTGTAACACTCGAATCACACAGATTCGATTGTAACATGAAATTTTAAAAGTAAAGACCCAAAAATTTTCCTAAGAAATCATATTTGCTTCAAAGTATTTATATAAAGTACAAATCGTAACAATTTATAAAAATGGGGCCCTAGTTTAGAAACTCGATAAATAAAAATAAATAACTCATATATACACTAACTGACTCTTTTTAAACCATGACATATACATGCCCATTAAGCCAACATCGTCGTATTTTGGTAATTTGTTGAGACTACTCCGATGATCTCGTTGTCCTATCGCGATCCATGAAAGAAAATGGGGCCCTAGTTTAGAAACTCGATAAATAAAAATAAATAACTCATATATACACTACTGACTCTTTTTAAACCATGACATATACATGCCCATTAAGCCAACTCGTCGTATTTTGGTAATTTGAGACTACTCCGATGATCTCGTTGTCCTATCGCGATCCATGAAAGAGAAAACATACGAACGAAACACATTCAAACGCTGAGCTCGCAAGCCTCGCGTCATACAATACCTCTACCATACTACATGCATTCATCAAATGATCATGTTGGTGAACAAAAATATGTGTATGAGAATACACTCAAACATCCTGAGGTAAGTCTAGTGGTGTGGTCGGAGGAATTTACGTGCATCTCATGACAACACCCCTAGCTTACCTAACATCTTATGAATATGTAGAAACATATCAACAAACATGAGAACGGTCTAACACTGTGGTTAGAGGAATTTACGTTCATCTCAGACAATATACTAGCCTATCTAAAACAAAATAGCTTCGGGGTAAGAACCATAATTCTACGTGCATCGAAAGTTACATGCATATGAAGCTCACATCCCGATCCCACAGATATAAAATTTATATGCATCATAATTCATACCGGTACAACCCAAAATTGACGTGCATCGGATACGTGCCCCAAACAAAGATATGGATATCAACATAATACAGACAACGTCATAATACTAGAGTAACTCGGATGTCCTAGCATTTCCCTAGTATCAACAAAGGCTAGTTTTATGTCACTTTATTAATAACGTTATTAGGTCGAGTTAATCATTATCAATGATATCCTAGATTAAGGGTTTAAGTATTTAAGAAAAAAAATTAATATACCAAATTGAACTCATTCAAACATGCTGAGGTCAAGATAATATTTCTCATTACATCATACCCCTAAAGAATGTAATTTAACCCTTTTACATTGAGCAAAACAACAAAGTGACTTATCCTTCTTTTGAGGATCGATCCTTTTCACCAAGGGATTGATCCTTTTGAAAAGGGATCGATCCTTTTCTCAAGGGATCGATCATTTTTAAAGGTTTGATCCTTTGCTGGACAGAAACTTTGGGATTGGTCCCTTTGGTCAAAAGATCAATCTTTTTTCTGGGAATAACTTACTTAAGCTCGGGAATACCTAAAAATTAACCCAACACTTCCTTAAGACTAGTAAACATGTTAATGTCTTATTTAGTGTCTTAGAGGTCAAAATGTACTAGCTTTCATGCTTACAACACACAACGAATATTTCCATGAAATTGCTCTAGCATGCTTATTTAAACCAAACCCCACATGTTTTTCTTGCCGCATACGTTCAAACATATTCATTTAAATGACATTAAAGTGGTAAGGAAGAGTTATAGTGTGTTACCTCAGCTCCTAGAAACTTCAAAATGTCTATAGCTTACCCAAGGATCAATCTTTCCTTGACTTAGCTCAAAAGGGAGTTATTGCTCCAGTTCCATCACTCAAGAGCCATCAACCGAGTCCAAACATGAAATGAATGATACTAGTTGTAGAAACAACTATAACCCATGAAAATCGAATGGGAACGTTGGAGGAAGCTCTTGGAGCTTAAATCTTCCAAAACCCCCATGGAAGCTCAAGAAAACCATTTATGGAGATGGTAAGTTTTTGTGAAACTCAAGAACTCTAGGTTATGAATCTTACCTCTAGATTTCTGATTGAGGAAGGAGATGGAAAAAGGTGAAACTCTTGTTCTTGATTGAGTAAAGAGAAGAGAAGAAGATGGTGAAGGGAAGAAGATAAAGAGGAAGAAGCTTTTGGGGAAGAAAGAGAAAAAGCTTCCCCCAATCACGTGAAAATCAACTAAAAATCCTCTAAATCAGCCATGTTTTTCTTTAATGGTCATACACTCTTGGTCCTTCAATCTTCTTTCTAAGCTTAAAATTCCCCTTTTTACCTTCTACATGTCTAATTTCTAATTCGATTAAACTCAAATTTGAACCAGAGACCTTCGTTAATAATAAATCTATTAAATAAATTATTGGTTCGATTCAAAACTACTAGGCTGGTATTCGGGGCGTTACAATCTCTCCATCTCATTCGAAAGAAACAGATAATACAAAGCTATTCTCATTTTTATTTTATGAGATTCGAACCAAGTAAGAACAGTTTCTTCATTTTTCATTTTTTCAAGCAATCAACACAAAATATAATGCATTAAAGGTTATTTTTACCTTTTTAATTTTCAAGCAATAGTTTTCTTAAATTTCAAACAGAGAGAGGGGTAGTTGTTCATTAGTGGTATACTTGAGTCGGTCATTAGAGTAAGGTAACCAAAGGATCAGAGGCCTTTGGTCATGTTGAGGGAGGCTTATCTAGGTCATTTAGGTGTTTTTTTGGGTTTAGATTCAAAACATCAAACCTGAAATCAGTATGAATATCAAATGAGAGGTATCAATACTAAGGGATCAGTACCGAACCAATGGTACAATATCGTTTACCAGCGTACATTTTTTGGCAATAAATATTAAGGATTGTAAGGGGAAATGAGGTTCCCAAGAACTCTATAGTTTCTTTGAAATAAGATTACAAATGGAAACTTAATTATGCAATTACACGTAGAAACGAGATAAGTTAGGGTAACATAAAACTAGCCTTAATTGATGCTCAAGAAACGATTAGGACCCAATTCCTTTAGCAAAGATAAGGTGTCAAAATTTAGAATTGATTCGAATATCCTTAGGTAGTGTGCAAAACACTTTAAATTGACTAGCTCGGGCGCAAGGTCCGACACTCTCAAGGGATGGCTAGTCGAGGGCGTTATATTCGATGTAGAGATTTGGGCCTCCTCCTCAGTAGACTAGAGGCGTGCGTGAGCTTTGAGATGCAAAAATCCCTCAACCGCACCATGATGTCTATCATAGAGTAGAGTGAGTACACAAGTATACTCACTATATTATTTATCAGTTGGTTTGAGCATGATGTAATGAACCCTTTTAGTATGTTTAGTTATCAGTATGACACTTGGCTAGTTAGCTCAGCGTTTGGAATTTGTTTCCTTACGCAGATTAGGTGAATAGCAGTAGAGGGCCTTTTGACCAAAAGTGATTCAGACCAGCTCAGAGCAGAGTACGTCTTGAATTCTTAAAGGGTATGTATATTTGAAATCCCTATTTTATATTTGAGACATGATTTATTTAAATGACGGTCTGTATTTTTATTTATTATTATTGGGAGCTCCCGAATGTAAACTAATTTGTACAAATGTTAACGTTTATTTTATTTTCAACATTTTCAAATGATTTTTCCATTTAGTATGTTAAGAAAAAAATTTGTTAGTCGCTCTAGTGGTTCCGTGTGGCGCTCTCATCGATCGATGTGTGTTGTACTGGTGTAGGGTGTTACAAGTTGAATAGCTCGACTTGGTTAAAATTTAGTAAATGTTCTATTCGAATTGATTCAATTTGAACTCAAGCTCTACTCGAGGCCTTAAATAGTTGAATTGAGCAAAGTTCATCTCGACTCGAGAAGTTTTGCGAGCTTGTTAATTTTTTATATAATTTTTTAACAATTTGATGATTGCAAGAAACAATGAATGGAGTGAATAGATGTTGATTTTCTTTTCTTTTTTAGGATTGATTATGTATCGTTGAACTTTTTTTAAAAGAATTTTTTAATATGTTAGTTTGACATATTTGTGGTAGTTACTTTAGTTTTAATATGTTAGTTTAGTGTATTTGTGGATTGTTATCTTGGAGTTTTGACTTTGAAATTGCTTCATCTTTTTGATATTTTTTTTGTTAATATAGTTAATTTATGTTTATATTAAGCTCTATATAGTATTAGTATTGTTATCTATTTTAAAAAATAAGATAAAATTTCTAGTGAGCTTAATGAGCAACGAGTCGAATAACGAGCAACGAGTGAGCAATAAATTTTTTAATGAGCATGCGCCGGCAAAATCTTAATGAGCAACGAGTTGATCGAGCCAAAAAAAAAGTAGCACAGTCGCACTACCCTCGCGATCGACTCGCTCGATAAGCACACCTAGTTCTATCCATAAAAAATGAAGACTTTTGAGTAACTTGGAAGAAAATGAAAGGAAAATGGGAGATGAATATTCTGATGCTTATAGCGGATAATTTTAGCTGTCGATATCGACAAGGAGTGAATCCTGATAAAACATATTTGGGGGGTGTTGAAGGATGCAGTCGTATTTTCTGAATTTTTATATTTTTATTAATAATATAATTTTGCATCTCCTAGAATCTTTATAATTGTGCACCTTTAAAGTTTTAATATAAAATTTTAAATTTGTACCTCCTTATATAAAATACGCTATCATCTCAAAACATAATTACTTCTATAGAAATCGATAAATATATTTTAAAATAAAATTGAAGTTTCATCTTAAATTGTTTTTCTAGTTTTTCAATAATGTAATGTCATATATGATGGTATGAATTAAATCAATTTTAAGAGTAAAAACGCCATTCAAAGCATGTAAAGTTTAGGTATTGTTTTCATGTCAGTTCCAAACTAGCATGGTTTCTTGCTAACTCTTGGCTGATTTATTACAAACTTGGAAATGGAAAGACGAGGCACCGCAAAAAGAAAGAAAAAAAGGAAGAACTCTATGCATGTTATTGTTGACGTCTATTTTTGTCCATGTTTTACTTCTTCTTCTTATTATTATTATTATTATGTATATTTACTAATATTATTACATTTTTACAGGCCAAAATACATACAATACCCAAATACAACCCCAATTCAAGTGACCGAGTAGGCCCAATGGAAGCTTGTATGTACCAAGTCCAGCTGCTATTCACTCATCAAGATTAGGGTTTCATCCTAACCCTGTCGCCGTCGAGTCATTCCATGCGCCGCCGCTCACTGTCCAAGTCGAAAGGCTTAAAAAAGATGATAAAGGGACGTGAAAGGCTTGAGCTAGGACACTCATTTCCCTTTGTAGCTTCACCGGAAACCATCACATGCAACACCAGATCTGGATAAAAAGGGAAGCCATTCGAATAAAAATGAGGGAAAGAAGAAGAGGGTTCGAAGAGAGATGAGACAGAGAGAAATCAGAGGCAAAGGGGAGAGAAGGGTTGATTCAAAAAGGAAGAAGAAAGGGACCATTCGAACAGAGAAAAACTCGAATGAAAAAAGGAAAGAAACGACCAAAAAAAGGGAGGGATTCAAAACTTCACTCCAGATCTATGCAGATTTAATCACTTTGGAGCGAAACGGAGCCCGAATCCTTGCTAGGGAGGTCAAGACCCTTCGAACGATGCCCTCATCTCCCCTCTCTGACGCCGACGAGCGGCGGCCACTACCGACTAATGCGGTCTTCGCGGCCGGAAAACTCTCCAAGAAGAGAGAAGAGATAGTTTTGGTGATTTGAAAAAAAGGGGCTTAGGGTCAATTGCTTAGATCAAATTTTAATTTTTATCTCTATTATATTTTCGTATTAATTTTACTCTCGAAATAATTTAATTATATCAATTTCTACTTTATTGTATTGACTAACGAAATTATTAAGTTCTACTTATGTGGATGATAGTTGTTTCCACGTTAGAGGACTAAAGTTATAATTTTTCTTTTTTTTTTTCTTCTACTAACCTAAACTACTAGTTTTAGAAGAAATATATATCTTCATTTTAAGTTTCCTCCCTATATTTTTTCACTTTATTTCTTTCCTTCTCTCAACCTTACATCTGTGCTCTCCACTCTCAGTCATCGATCACCTTTGACTGTTGATAATCACCGCGTCGATTATCGTCATCGATCACCGTTTAAGACCCAAAATACATAATCAAACTGTCTCGTCTCCTTGTCATGAATCCAACCTTTGATCATAGAATACATCGTCGGTCATCGTATCTAGATAAAACCAACTGATTTCCTCAAAATAAAATATTTCCTTTCGTCATAGAACCGTCCGATGGAGTCATCTTGGGGTACAATCCTCCTGTTAGGTTAAATTATGCTAAACAATATTCGTATTTTCTGGGGGAGACAGAATTGGTGGAATCTGTAAGGTATGATTTTATCATGCTCGTTTCAGAAAAATAGCAGATTGCGAAAAGATAATGCTATCGGCTATTGAATATGTTGTCGTTTTCGCGTCTCGGACTCGACCGTGGAAATTTAGCCCTAGTTTTTATATTACGAGAATAGTTATTGTTTTGCTTTAGCATTGCAATTCTCTCTTTACTAGTTTTGATATTGCACTGTTGGTTGGCTTGTTTAAGGATCGTAGTTTTTCAAGTATTAATGTCCATCCTATGAACTCACAAATCTAATGAACAAAACTACCTAGTTTAAGTTGTAAAAAATTTAAATTTACTGGGTTCAAGCATTCTCGTCGAACTCGGGGTCGGAGGTTGATGTCTTGTCGTCAATGGGCGGGACTCATTATTAATTGAAAAATATATTCTTTTTATAAATGTCACATCATCATTTAAATTAAAATAATATATTTATTTTATTTTTTTCATAATTGTCATGTTATCAAGTAGACACGTCAACAATATATATGAGGTGGAAATAATTAGCGTTCGTATCAGTAGAACTTAACGGTTTTGTTAGTTAACAAGGTCAAAAGTAAAAATTAATACAATTAAACAATTTTAAAGTAAAATTGATGTGAAAATACGACAGTGGTGAAATTGATAAATTTGATCTAATACATGACCATATGTAATACTTAAGCCAAAAAAAAGTGAAATGAGAAATTGAAAAAAAGGAGAAAAGAGTTTATACACCCACACGAAAACGACGACGTTCAAGCCTAGAAATTGCGCATTCGAGCAAAAGGGTATCTACGCGTCTGATCCTTGAGACTTTGTAAGCATTACTATTTGGTCGCTTGATTCAAATTTATGTGTTTATGCTTCTGGCCTTTGATCTTATTTGGAACTCAAGAGGGGCTAGTGGGGTCCATGGATCCCCAAACTTTTAAAATTATAATTTATATCTTTAAAAATTTTAAATAATTTAATTTGGACCCCCAAATTTTTAAAATTCAGATTAACATTAAAATTTGTTAATGTTCTTAATTAAATCTCCTTCCATAATTTAAAAATAATCTCATTAAGTCTCTCAAGATTTCAAAAATTTTAGTTAGATCTTAATTTTCTAGAAAAGATGTAAACTAAACCCTTCAAGATTTTTAAAAATTTTAATTCAAACCTCTAAATTTTTTAAAGTTTTAATTTAACCCTCAAACTCTATCACCAAGTTCTGTCACTAGTTGTGTCAAACTTTAGCTTTGAAATAATGCAAAATACCACACCATAGCTTAGTTGATTGAGCAAGGCCTGAAATAAGTAGGAAACAAGTTGAATATTAACCAATGACCTAAGTTTATTCCTTTCAATAAAATTATACTCAAACTTGACTTAGCCTAAATGCCCCAAAATTAGAATAATTTTAATTCAAAATATAACCAAAAAAAAAACAAATTCTACATTAATTCAACTGAATTGATCGGACGTAAAACAATCCTAGTCGCCAAAAAGAAATAGATTTTCTTTAATAATAATATAAAATTTAACCGTTTTATTTTCTTTTAAAGTTTATAAATTTAAAATTTTATTTTTATTTAAAATATGAATTTAATGGAGAGTGTGTAATTTAAATTTAATAAAAAAAATTTAAAATAAAAGTTTATAAATTGCTTGTGTTGTAGTTTTGATGGTTACAATACACATAATGTTATTAGCATAATAATAACATCCAAGTTTAATTCCAATGGGATGCACATTTTGGAGATTTAATCCCTTTCCTAATTCAATAAAAAAATATTATGTGCCATGTGGTAATATCTGCTTGGTTTTATTAATTTAGTAAAAAAATAATTATTAATTAATTTACAAAAAAAATTCCTGATGTGGCATCACATGTGGACATGCCACGTCAGCATTTAGTCCATGTGGACGTGCCACATCACCATGTACCATGAGCTGGCCAAGTCACGTCAACATCTCAGTCCACGTGTATATTTGGTCAGCATCAGACGCTAACCGTCAGTTGACTAACGATTTACATCAACTGAAGATGTTTTTTGACCCAAAATAAAACGTTGAGTGGTCAAATGTGTCAAAAAAAATAAAGACGATTTCCATCCACCGATGATGTTTTCTAACTCAAAATAAAACGTTGAATGATAAAATGTGTCAAAAAAAACAATACAAATAAGTTTAACAATACTATCAAACGTTAAATTATTTTGTTGCATTATACCTTTCTTATTTTATCATACGTAATTCTTGTTTCTTATTTTAATACAAGGATGAATATTAGCCACAACTTGGGTTTTTTAAATCAATAACTTTTTTATTTTATTAAAAAAATTCCCAATCAACATTCCTTGAAACAGAAAATGACACACAAATAGCTCAAGTAAGAATTCCTCGCGTTCTACAAAAAGTATGTTTCATGTATTTCTTGTATCAAAGTTCTTTTACATCGATAAATCTCACGTTTTGTAAAATGTGAGATCAGACATTGAGTTCTGGAAAAAAAAAAACAAGATGTTCCTACGAGTGTCATTTAAAGTTTTTTTTCCAAATAATTTGGATGAGAGTTATTTTATAATAAATTAATAAAAAAAAAAGAGGGTTTTTATAATAAAAAAGCCCAACTTGTTGTGGGTCATGACAATAATACTTAATAAATTCCCCGCTCGTGTTAAAGTCTGAACCTTTCTTATTTTATCATACGTACTTCTTGTTTTCTTATTTTAATACAAGGATGAATATTAGCCACCAACTTGGGTTTTTAAATCAATAATTTTTTTATTATTTTATTAAAAAAACTCTAATCAACAATACTTGAAAAATGACACACAAATAGCTCATATAAGAATACCTCACATTCTGCATAAAGTAAATTTTATGCATTTCTTGCGTCAAAGTTATTTCACATCGATAGATCTCACATTTTGTAGAAAGTAAGGTCAAACCTCCCGTTCTGCATAAAACAAAATTTTCCTACATGTGTCCTTTGAAGTTTTTTTTAAATAATTTGAAGGAGATTTATTTTTATAATAAATTAATAAAAAAGGGTTTTTTCTAATAAAAAAGCCCAACTCCTTGGGGGTCATGGCAATAATACTTAATAAATTCCCCGCCGTGTTAAAGTCTGAACCTCTTATAGCCTCTGCCTTTAAATCATTTGATACCTGACAATGAGAAAGGACACATGTATAGTTGGCAATGACCAAGATATATAGTGATGAAGGTCAACCTTTCCACTATTCATGAATCTACTCTCATTTCCCATTATATTCATAGCAGAAAATTTTATGTTCATCGTTAAAATGATTGGATATCGACACCATCTTTCTTGCTTTTATCTTCTTGTTTTTGTCTCAAAATGCAAATCTATTAGTATTTCACATCATACTTAGGCTGTTTATACCATGATTTTTGGAAAGACATTAGATTTTGACAAGATTTCGTGATCAGAGATATGGGCTGGCTAGCAGGGTCATTTGGTGTCCTCTCATTTTCTGGGTATATATTATTCATGAAAGCTGGTGACGTTATTTCCTTTTCGCAGTCTAAATCTTCATAAATACCAGAAAAGGAATTGCATCATCGAATTATCAACATTTTTTAAAAAGTATGTACCAAATAATATATAATTTCATTATTTCTTTAATGTAGGACTAACACACTCTTCCGCTTTCATAATCAGTCTACTTCCCTCTTGGGAGAGTTGGACGTAAAATTTTTTATCATTATATTTTATGACGTATTCATCAGGGATCCACGTCCATTGTTGATCAAATTTATCTACCTCATCCATTAGGCACTTGATCTAAAATCCCTTAAGAAAAATCCCTTCAATCTTATGGACCCGTTGGTTCCACGAGCATGGAAATTGCAAGGCGACAGTTAAAGCTGCTTAATTATTTAGGTCAAATCTATGGAGCAATCATGTTTACATGCGGACAGGTATAAAAATAGACCCTACATCATGGAGTCCCCACTTTAAAAGAGTTCGTAAAGTCCAAACACGTTTATTTCATATTAGTGTTCATCAGTAACTTTCATTTAGCTAAGTGCCATCAAACTGGATTCATCAACTTGAGGACTCCAAATGCCTTTTATTTGGATACAATTTCGAGTTCCCCAGATTTCTGAAGCCTCGTGGCTACAATTATTTGTTTTTCCTGCCTTAATGAGCTTTCGACCTCATTGAGAAAAATTTATGACCATCACAATGATAGTCGACACATAATGGTCCCATCGTGATAGATAAATCTACAGAATCGAATCAAATCAAACATAAAAAAAAATTAATTAATGAGTTTATGATGTTTTATTTTGAAAAATTTTTTATATATTTTTATGTTATTTAACATGTATAAGTAAAATTTGTAAGATTATCAAA